CCACATCTTCTTTATTAATTAAAAATAATCTGTATGACCAAAGAATTTCAAAGCCTGGAAAGCTAGGATGAGAAGGAAACAAAGTGTTTCTAGAAAGAATTAGACTTCACATAATTAGTGTCTGACAATTTTCATGTTGTTTAAAATCCATGGCAAATTTTTGTCCTAATATGTCTCTGAAAATCAAGGAACATAGTCATGTTTGGTTTTGCCTGCATTTCAGGTCCTCCATAATCTATGCAGAAAATTAGACCCATTGTTCCCCATTAGCTTTCTTCTCTAGACCAGGCACAATAAGAAAATGGTGCCTGTGTGCCACTTCCACTGTTCCTCCAGTAGGCAATTACTAGTTCTCTTATATATAACAGTAGATTGCAAAGAAAAATAATTACCTATGCAGAAGCTCTTAGAAAAATGAAATAAAAAACACAAACATCAATTTATAATTATATCTTATAATTAAAAAGCTTGACACCTATTGTTATCCCCAGAATTTGAACCTTAATAACAGGTCTTGGTCATTGTTCATCGTAATAGCGCATCCTACGGTCTCCATCAGTGGAATTACTGAGCTCTGCTGAAGAGATAACATGTTTCCTGAAAACAGGAATAACTTGACAAAAGGAACATCGTCTGGGCAGCAAAGGGACATGAAAAGAAGTATAGTATTTTTAATTTTAAAATGTCAATGTCAGGGAAATTTGTGTGCTTATTACTGTGGTTTGTAAAAGTAAGTAGGATATTTTGTGAAGAAAAAACTCAGATAAATATACTTAAAACTTAATAAACTTTTATGAAGGCATAAAAGGATGTTGGTTGTTCAGAGACAGTTTCCAGAAAAATACAAAGCACAGAAATTTAACCCCTTTTCCTAGTTTCTTTCTTCTGTAGCAGCATCTGGTCAGCAGCGAAGGGGAAGAAGTTCTTCTAAGAAAGGAATTTCTGACTGTTTGAACTTACTGATGCTGAAATCCAGCTTTCAGGAGGAGATACCTCTAAGTGCTTGAGGGGGACTTGAAGATGGACGCCATCCATCTGTGGTGGCAAACTGAGGCCTGCAAACACAGGGTCCTGCCAGCTACTTGGCACTTCCACCCCCTGGATCCACCCAGCCCTTCACGCCCTTCCTCCGTAGCAGTTGACACTTTTAAACTTACTCCTTAGAGAAGTTTAATGAGCCTCTTGGAATTTTTTTTTTTTTTTTAAAGCAAAACAAAGAAGAGTAATAGAAATGGACAAGCTGACAAAGGAATAGAGAGGTTCATTTTCAGCTTGGTGCTTGGGGGGTTTTCATCAGGATACCGCAATGGATATTGCACAGAGAAGTGGAAGAAGAAAGAAAGGAATTACAAACAGCCTCCTATGATGAACTTGTATAATTTATTCCTCTGCAGAGCAGCAGGCGGAGTGTTTCATTTCCCCCCCTCCCCTCTTCTTTTTCCCTCCACCTAATTTCAGTGCATTCCCAGGCTAGCAAGAATGAAAATTAAGCATACCCAACACACAAGTCGTAATGAAAGTGTGGAATGCAATCAGATTATTCATAAGCTTACAAGTTGTGTATTTTGGTGGAGATTTCCTCCCTTCTGCTCCTGATTGCTGATGAAGAATGGTATTTTAATAGGCAGATGGTAAAGACAATTACAGTTAGGGGCTCAGCTGGGAGTTACATCAGTTTATTGCAAATTATTAGTTGATAAATGCTTTTGTTTACAAGCAGAGTCTTAAGCAGTTTTGTAATCAGTTTATCAGCTGCAGGCGAAATTTTGACAGCTCGCCTTTGGGGTGTATGTCACCTCTTGGCTGGTCATTTAAAATCATGTTGGTCAGAGAGCCATACAGTCAGATGGCTACCTCAGTGCCCCATTGCAAGTTTATGCTAAGCACCCAGGACACAAACCCCAGAATGCTGATGAGGCTTCATTCACAGGCCTTTTCCTGTTGAAATCCCATAAAAACAGCTTATCTGTTTGATTAAACCCAAGGTAGGATACCTGAGCCCCATGGCCTCCAACACATTAATTCAGGTTTTCCAGAAAGCTCTGAGTGCTTTTTTATTCACGGGACAAAAGTTTCTGAGCTTACGCTTAAATAGAAATCTGGGCCTGATGACAATGACTCTGTTTACTTTCCAGAAGGAGGCTTCATGAGCTTCTTAAAAAAGAAAGGAAGTTATCTTAATAGGAGACATTCTCTTACAGGAAAAATAAAAAATAAAAATTAAAAAGTACTGTGGAAAGAATACAAGACAGGAACCAAAAATCTAGCAGGGATCTGTTACAAGCTTGGGCCAGAGAATGCCCTATTTGAGAAGAGGGGAGTTTAGGGAACACACAGGTTTAACCAGTCTGGCTTTGCTTTCCTTTTCTGTGAAATGGAATGATAGTACTTCCTGTTTGCCACAGCTAATTACATAGATTAATGAGTCTGTTCATGTTTCTTTGTTTCTAAGTTCCAATCAGACCTATATACTATCTGTTGAGTTTACATTAAGTAATAAAGCATATAATATTTGAAGTGACACATAAATCACACATTCTACTTTAAGCTCATTTCTAAAACATTTGCTAAAAGAGGATACTGTAACTTATTAGTTTTACAATATAGCATGGTCACCATTTACTAGTTTTTTGCCTTGGTGTAAGGACTTGGTTTATAACCTGATGTGTTCAAAGATATGTATACTTGAAGGAGTTCACTTCATTATTCATAGCCTATAAACAATTCTTATTTATCTACTTTTATTTTCCATTCTAACAAAGTAAGTTTTGTGAGCCTAGTCAAGACAAAAATAGTCAAATAAATAATCATATACAATACCTCCTAAACTAGTTATTTTTGTTTATAGCTACTAACTATATGCTTTTATTTCCTGATGTTCAAGGAAAACTTACGAAGTGAATAGGAAACTAACTACTGAAGTCAGAAGCCAGGTTTCACAGCCAGAAATAGATATTCCATATCCTATAATATATTGACATAATACAGAAAGTTCTTTGGAAATATGACTTCAGCTGATACATTTTAAATTATATATAACATATGTGTAAAAGCAGAATCTTCTCTTAGTCTCAGAAATACGGCTGAGCATCTCTATCCATTTATCTCCCTGCTTCCTCTTTCTAATTCTGTCTTGGTTACTCAATTAAAGTCCTGAAATCATCAGAATAGAAACTAGCCACATGGTTTAGTCAAGTTTGTAATTTTAAAGTTGGGTTGACATAAGCTTATGGAAAAACATTTGGGAGAAAACCAGAGTGCAGTTTTTATCCAACTCCAATATTCAGCACAAGCATTTAGTTCCCAATTTTCCAGTTCTTAAGCAATTAAATGTTCCATTGACATCAGAGGAAAGGCTGCTTACAGAAGAGCTGAAGAACAACAAAAGCCTTGATATCTTAAATTGTAAAATGTCTTTTAACATAAAGAGCATAAAAAGTTTGCGTTTTCATTTTCTATAATCAAGTTAATGAAGGATAAATAGTGGATTTGGCAAATGGTTTCTGCCATTTGTCCATTCCTCTTGATTGGAAAAGGCAATGAATAATTTTTGTAGAAAAAGCTGCCCTCTCCTTTGGTCCAAATACAAAAGGCACACTCCAGAGTAGCTGGTCAGGTCTGACTTTCTCCCTGCTCCCAAGAACTGCTAGGATGTTCTATAAAAAGCTGTCAGGAGTGCCAGCATGGGAAAGTTGAATGCCCCCAAATGCCCTGCGTTGCCTATCTAGCACAAGTGAAAAACGTTAAAGATCATTTAAAAACAGGAAAGACCTTTTGCAAAATGCTTTGATTTATTGCTGTGTATTGTGCAGATCTTTATCAATTATTTTACTCTATTTTATTCAAAAACTATTGTAAACTATGAGTTGGCATGTTGCTGCATAGGAAAAAAAGGCATTAATCAACTCTAAATAAACAAGTGCATAGATCTATCTAACAACTATGAAGTAGCTAATACATTTTTAAGCAATTTTATTATAGAAGGGAAGGCTAAAAGAGTAGTGCTTAATTATCTGTACTCCTCTGTGCTGGGCTCCCTTTTGATTGTATTAATGAAGCAGCTGGCCCATTGTTTCCCTTTAATTCCTCTATTGTTTTAAGAATATGTCACAGCTCTTTATTCTTTTATCAGGTGCTGTGCAGGAGGATCCACACAATACCTCATATTCCTACTGTATTTGCCAAGGCACAAAGAAACCTCCAAAGCAGTTTTCAAAGAAGGGGCACCCATAATTTATAAGTTCTATTCCTTCCACTACTCCACTGTCAAGAATTTCAACAGTATTGGATTTGAATTCATTATAAAATTTGTACTAAGCAATGTGGTTACGTATAGATATATGTCCTGTGTTAATGCCTAAACCCTGAGATCTAGGCATTACCACATGCGATGTTGAAATGGGACAGTTATTTAGCTTTTAAGGAATTATTCTGACCAATCACTTCCCAGTTACGAAAAAAAAAAACAGATTTCAGAGGGAGGTATCATGTGAGATTTTTCTAATTATTTAGTAAAAATAAAAGAAGTTAATGACCAAACAAGTAAGTATTCCACTTTTCTCCACCTCCAGAAACATGATACCACTCTGTATATGTCTGCGTGTGTGTGTGCTTGTGTGTGTGTGTGTTTCTGTGTTAAATGGCCTATTCCCCCAGAGAATGGCTTTAATTTTACTTGAATGTGCCTACAAGAGATCATGATTTACTTCATAGGCCAATGTGTAATCTTCATTAACTACGTGCTTGTCATCAGTTGACCATCTTTTTCCATGGTATGTGGAGGTGATAGACTTTTTAGATCAATGCAAAAGTATCAATCTACATCTTAAGGAAGCAAAATGCAGCAGCAATTTAGTATATGATATAGCATATTTTATGCAAGAGCTATTTAAAAATGCTGGTTCCGTTATGCATAATTACTTTTTCTCCAAATTTTTATGAAACCCATAAAAATTACCCATGGTAAAATCATTTTGAGAGCCTGATTCACAGAAACTGTCTTTTTTTTTTTTTTTTTTACACAGACGTCTTTTACTTTGGTTTTTCCCTATTAAATATCTGTATTGTGGGGAATGTTTTATTGATTTTTTCCCCCAGAATTCCTAGTCTAAAAAAAGAGAAATGAGACTTAATGACGATGCTATGCAGTAAAAGTCATTAACTTTAACTTTTAAATGTCTTTAGAAAAGCCATTAGAATAACTTGTTATTTTAAACCATCTATTTCCTTTTGTATTGTTAGTGAGAATGTGTGCGGTTTGTTTGCTTGTTTGTTTTTAGCTTAAAATAAAGTTTCACACTGATATTCCTATCTATTGCCTGAGGCTCCTTATCCTACTATATATTGAGGCAAAGTAATACAAAATCTAAATGTAATTTAATTGGTTCAATTTGTTATATATTTTTATGCTAAGCTTAGGTGCATATCTTGATGAGCCCCCGTAGTTGTGCTAGAGGTTTACAGCTTCACGTTGCTTGCATTTCCTTATTTTTATAAAGCAAGCGTCTATCAATCACACAGATAAATTAGAAAGAAACATGTATAGACATAACACCTGGAAAAGATTTTTCAGCGTGCTATGTAATTATTAACCTGATATTTACCATTGTAAGAAGCCATGAATTGCAGATAGCATGGATGAAGTTAAAAGCTTTTATTCTGGATACATTTTGCTTATACAGAACTCTATAGGTATGGTGGAACAATATAATTGAAGCTTTGTCAGCGCTGTAACCTAGCAACAGATAATACTGTTAGGTTACTGAATTGCTCCTGGTTGACAAGTAGGGAGTATTTTTGTGTTTATCATGTTTGCTAATGATGGGATCCTTTCCAAAAGGCTTGTCTTAATCTTAATTAGAGTTTATCAGCAGAGGTCTGCATGACATTGTGCAGAGACTGATTTCATAAATAATAAAAAGTGCAAGTGAAAAATTTGGCAGGGTGGGAAGATATTTAAGGCCACTGCTTCTAGTAAGAGGAGCATGAATTTCCAAAATATAATCGAGTTTGAACTGTGACTTTATTCTTTATTATCAAAACTTGTAGTACACTTCACTGCAGTTTTGACAGCAATTATAAGAAAAATTTATAAGCTTCCTGTTAGAAACCGTATCTGGTTGCACAAGAACCTTGATCATAAACATTACTTAGAACAGCAAATATATGCTTCTTCAAGAATGTCAAGGTCTTAGTAGTTACTCCTTTTCATGGAAACTTGAATAAGTATTTGTCCTTTATTTGTGAAGGGAGTGGTATTGTGAGTATGATGACTGAGGAGAGTGACTATGTTTGCAGCATAAGAGACAGACAAAGAGAGAATCCTAAAATAACCTTTCCATTTGGTGGAAGCAAGGAAGGTATCAGATAGCTGCTTCAGTGCCTGATGTCATTTGATAAAGATTTCATGCCCATGCAGGAGGAATGTGATTTTTGTGCTCTAGTTTGCACAATATGATCTTTCCACAGTTTTGGAGGATGCATTACTATTGATCATTCCTTATAATAAAATACATCACTTCAAAATAATAAAGAATTAAGCATTGTAAAACTAAACATAATCAACAAATTTACCAAGTTCCTCACTGGCTTATTGAGTTGAAAGATGAGGCTAAGTCATTACATCATTGTTTATCCACTTCCTTCACCATTTCATTCATCATTCCTACATTCTTCAAACACTGCAGGAAAAGGGAACATTCAAAGGTAGTTTCGCTGGGCGCGGTGGCTCACGCCTGTAATCCCAGCACTTTGGGAGGCCGAGGTGGGCAGATCACCTGAGGTCAGGAGTTTGAGACCAGCCTGGCCAACATGGTGAAACCCCATCTCTACTAAGAATACAAAAGATTAGCCCAGCCTGATGGCGGGCGCCTGTAATCCCAGCAGGGAGGCAGGAGAGTCACTTGAACCTGAGAGGCGGAGGTTGTAGTGAGCCGAGATCATGCCATTGTACTCTAGCCTGGGCAGCAAGAGCAAAACTCCCTCTCAAATAAATTAATAAATAAATAAAAGCTATTTTCAAGTGTAATTTTCTGAGTTTCAAAATGGACATCTTCTCTACTGAATTGTCTGAGCACTCCTGTGAAATATTTGATCATCAAGAGACTTTTTTTGTTCATCAAGCTTAACCCTTTCTACACTATATGAAGTGCAGATAGTTTACTCCTATCGCAGTTATTCTTAACTATGGAAGAAAACCAAGCCCTCCAGAGAGCTAAAAAATACTGAAGCCCAAACTTCAGTCCCAGAGGCTGATTTGATGGCTCTCGGACACGGCCCACAATCAGCGTTGGTTCTAAGTTCCCCTTGTGACTGTTCTGTACAGTCCAGGTCGCCAGTCAGTGCTTGATGGTTAGGTCGACTCTTGATGCCCTTTTTAATGTCCAGCTAAACTTGCAATTTAAACAAGGAATTGGGAAAGTGCTGTGTTTGTATTTTATATTAATAATTGAGCTTAATGTATGTGAAGTGCTTAGAACAGTGCCTGCCACATAGTAAGTGCTTTCTAAGTGTTCGCTATTTTAATGAGGTTAGTCACGTTACAAGATAACTTGGAGTCAGCCAGGCATGGTGGCTCACACCTGTAATCCCAGCACTTTGGGAGGCTGAAGTGGGAGGATCCCTTGAGCTCAGGAGTTCAATACCAGCCTGGGCAACATGGCAAAACCCCATCTCTACTAAAAATAGAAAAGTTAGCTGGGAGTGGTACCACACGCCTGTGATTCCAGCTACTTGGGATGCTGTAGTGGGGATCTCCTGAGCGGGGAGATGTAGGTTGCAGTGAGCTGAGCCGTGATTGCCACTGCACTCCAGCCTGGGTGACAGAGACCCTATCTTAAAATAAAATAAAGTAATAAAGTAACTTGGAGTCACTTCCACATCATACATAAATTTTATTCTCCACATTGTAGCTATGCATTTAAAAACTATCTAGTAACTATGTAACCTGCCTAATACTGCTTCATAAATTCCTTCAGAGAGAGAACTGTGCCAATTATTCAAACTTAGTAATGAAGGTAGGAGTGTTACAGAGTGAACACCAGATGGCGCCATGGCTTGGGACACCTAGTTTTTCATATAAAATCTAGAGCCAAACTGCCTTATTCAAATCCCATCTCCCATATTTCCTTCTCATCTTCCAGTTCCCCTCTAGCTGTGTGACTTTGAACAACTTACACTTCCAGCATCATGATCCCACAGTAAAATGAGAATCAATAAAAGCCACCTCACTGCTTCCTTAGGGGAAATCAATAAGATAATTCATGCAAAGCTTTTTGCACAGTGCAGATGTGTAGCACATAGTAACCACTTAATAAATCTGTGATTATTACTATTATTAGCACATGACGATGGAAGCATAAAAAGATGCTCACAACTGGATGATGAGAAATATTTAGTCTAAGGCTGTCATTTGAAATGATGTGGGTAATGCGATTTTCCAAGCTCACACAGTAACTAATAACGAAATCAGACCCAAACCAAACTTTCTTACTCACCAATAAAGTGCTCTTTATAATTCATCTTTGCATTGAGGACAAATACATTTTCCGTGATTTCAGGTGCCACCTGTTCTTCACTATTAGTGTGTAATTCCTTAAAATAAGAACATTTACCCTTGAATTGCAGTGTAAACAAAATAGTAACAGTTTTATCAATGAAGGATACAGTCGTCCCTCAGTATCCATTGTGGATTGGTTCCAAGACCTTCCTCAGACACCAAAATCTGAGGATGTTCGAGTACCTGATATAAAACTTTATTGGTTTTTTACTTGTGTTATTCTTCATTATTGTAATTTGGGGTAATATTTTTATCTGAGTTTGATTGAATCCAAGGATGCAGAACCCAATGATATGGAGCATATATTTACATTGCCACATGTCCAACCAATAATTTTACAGAATTGCCTTTGTTTTCATATGAATATAGCATTAATATGGATTAGTGTATTGGAAATGCACTTGGTTGAAATTTGGGGCACATTAAGCATATTGCTTCTTATGAAAGCCACAGAAAACATCTGTTCAGATTCCTTTAATTTCATCTCTATAGAGAGTCAACAGGAACACTCCACTGGCACTGGAAACACAGGCAGAAACTCACATCAATCAAGTAACCGGGAACTAAATCGTTAAAACATGTTCAGATCTACACAAGTCTCCTGAGTTCATTCAAATGAGAAGAGTTAATATGGTCAAATAAAGTGAACTCCTTCTTAGCAGCAACTTAATTTCACTAGGTGCTTGACTTTCAAATGGGGTTTGTTAAATAGCTTTGCTAGGAAAGTTGAGAAGGAAGAAGATCTTATGCTTTGTGTTTCTTTATGGGTTTTGTTTTTTTTTTTCTCTTTTTTGGTTTTCCTAAAATCATCTCATATGAAGCCACTTTTTAAAAGTTATATTCTTATTCTTAGTTATGGCTTAAAAATTGTATGCCAACGTTCTAGATTCACAGAGGATGTTTTGTAGTGAAAAAAGAAGTACCCTCATTTTTTTCTCGATTTTTAAAATTCTGATAAAATACACACAACATAAAATGTAGTATCGTAACCATTTTCAAGTGTATAGTTCAGTGGCATTCACATTGTTGTGCAACTATTACCACATCCATCTCTAGAGCTCTTTATCTTGCCAAACTGACATTCTATTTACGCTAAACCTAAATCCTCAACCCCCTATCCCCAGCCCCGGGCAACCACCATTCTACTTTCTGTCTCTATGATTTGGGATACCGTAAGTACTCCATGTAGGTGGAATCATACACTGTTTGTCTCTTCGTGACTGGCTCATTTCACCCAGTACAATGTCCTCAAGCTTCATCCATGTTGTAGCATATGTGAGAATTTCCTTTCAAGGCGGAATCATATTCAGTTGTACGTGTAGATCACATGTTTCTTATCCATTCCTCTGTCAATGGATACTTCCATGGGTTGCTTCCACGTTTGTTTTTTTTAATTTTTTAATTTTTTTTTTTATTATTATACTTTAAGTTCTAGGGTACATGTGCATAACGTGCAGGTTTGTTACATATGTATACTTGTGCCATGTTGCTGTGCTGCACCCATCAACTCGTCAGCACCCATCAACTCGTCATTTACATCAGGTATAACTCCCAATGCAATCCCTCCCCCCTCCCCCCTCCCCATGATAGGCCCCGGTGTGTGATGTTTCCCTTCCCGAGTCCAAGTGATCTCATTGTTCAGTTCCTGCCTATGAGTGAGAACATGCAGTGTTTGGTTTTCTGTTCTTGTGATAGTTTGCTAAGAATGATGGTTTCCAGCTGCATCCATGTCCCTACAAAGGACACAAACTCATCCTTTTTTATGGCTGCATAGTATTCCATGGTGTATATGTGCCACATTTTCTTAATCCAGTCTGTCACTGATGGACATTTGGGTTGATTCCAAGTCTTTGCTATTGTGAATAGTGCTGCAATAAACATACGTGTGCATGTGTCTTTATAGCAGCATGATTTATAATCCTTTGGGTATATACCCAGTAATGGGATGGCTGGGTCATATGGTACATCTAGTTCTAGATCCTTGAGGAATCGCCATACTGTTTTCCATAATGGTTGAACTAGTTTACAATCCCACCAACAGTGTAAAAGTGTTCCTATTTCTCCACATCCTCTCCAGCACCTGTTGTTTCCTGACTTTTTAATGATTGCCATTCTAACTGGTGTGAGATGGTATCTCATTGTGGTTTTGATTTGCAGTTCTCTGATGGCCAGTGATGATGAGCATTTTTTCATGTGTCTGTTGGCTGTATGAATGTCTTCTTTTGAGAAATGTCTGTTCATATCCTTTGCCCACTTTTTAATGGGGTTGTTTATTTTTTTCTTGTAAATTTGTTTGAGTTCTTTGTAGGTTCTGGATATTAGCTTCCACGTTTTAGCTATTGCAAACAATGCTGCTATGAGCTTGGCTGTTCAAATAGCTCTTTGAGACTCTGCTTTCCTTTCTTTTGAGTATATATCCATAAGTAGAATTACTAAAATCATAGGTAATTCTAGTCTTAATTTTTGGATAACTCATCATTTTGTACAATTTTACATTCCCTCCAACAGTGCACAAGGGTTCCAGTTTCTCTACATCCTTAACAACACTTCTTATTTTCTTTTTTATTTTCTTCTGATAATGGTGCTCTCATTTTAGAGTCAAATGTAATATCCTGTGGTTTGTTTTAAACATGAGGTCAAAGGGTACAAGATTTTGTAGCTAAATGTCAACATGACTTAGCATTTTCATGTGCTTTTATAGCTTCTTAATTTACGTAAATACTACTACCCTCTACACAATTGTAAGTTGAAGTAGGCCATATTTATCTCAGCTCTGAAGCATTAAAACAGGAAACTGGTTCTCCTGCCCCTTCAGATCCACAAAGATTGCTAGAAACTATTTCTGTTTCTAACTGGTCCACAATAGTTTGTGATCCACAAACAAATGCAACCGTATTCTTCTTTTCTAAAATGAGTTAGCTGCCTCCAGTGAAGTGTAGACAGATCTGCTTATTGGATTCACAGGTGTGCCTTTTCTTTCTGGTGAGATTTCTTTCCTCTTGGATTTAGCAGGGCAGTAAGAAATGAGAATAATAATAGCCCCAAGCAGATTAAACTAAAACGATAATAGCTAACAATTATATAAACATTTGTTATATGTTATTTATTATATGATTATATGTCAGGTGCTGTTCTTAAGCTTTCACATATATTAGCTCATTTAATCCCCATAATAACATCATGAATTCAGCCCTGTTTATCATCTTTCGCATTTTCAGGAATGAGGAAACTGACAGGTAGAATGCTTAGGTGACAAGTTCTAAGTCACACACATAATAAGTGGCAGAGCCAAGATTTCCACCTAGGCAGTCTGGTTCCATTGCCCAAACATCCCCCAAGAGTGATCACACTCTGAAAGTTTTATTAGCATCAGTAATTGAAGTTACGTTACAATATTTGGGTTATTACATCCTATGAATGACTCCCTCAAGTTGTATGTTCTAAATTCACCATCTAAAAACTCAGCCAAACAATTATAAAGAAATCCAACCCTTGATTTCTGTGGTGCCATTCTCTTGATTTCCCTCTAACATTTAAATATAAGCTCTTGGTACATTTTAATGATCTCGTCTTCTCTGTGCACATCCTAAATGTTGAGATACCCCAAGTTTCTTTGGTGATCCTCTTTTCACTCCATACTCTCCCTGGGTTACCACATGAATGCAGAGAGTATCCATGGTCAATTAGAATGTGCAGATCACTTCCAAAACATTTTTTTTTCTTCAGCCTGTATGTCTTCTCCAAGTTCCATCTTTCTCCTAGATAAATTCACCAGAAGTCTGTCAGGTACCCCAAACTTTGCATTTTCAAAACAGAATTATTTCTGTGCATGCACATATACGCATATACACACAACACACACACATGCACGCTTGGACTTTGCAGTTGGACAGACAAAAGTGTAAGTCACAATTCTGCCACTGAGACTGTGTATGGCTTTGGGAAACTTAGTTATCCTCTCTAAGCTTCAGTTTTCTCAAACTAGGGAACTATTACCTACCTCACAGAGTAATTGACAGGATTAAAATAGATGAACTACATAAACCACTTAGCTTATCAGGCCCAAAGAAAGTACTCCTGGCTGGACACCATGGCTCATGCCTGCAATCCCAGCACTTTGGGAGGCCAAGGCAAGAGGATTGTTTGAGCCCAGGAGTTCTAGACCAGACTGGGCAACATAGTGAGACTCCATCTCTACAAAAAAATATTTTTAAAAATTAGCCAGGCTCCGTGGCTCACACTTGTAATCCCAACACTTTGGGAAGCCAAGGTGGGTGGATCACGAGGTCAGGAGATTGAGACCATCCTGGCTAACATGGTGAAACCCCATCTCTACTAAAAATACAAAAAATTAGCCAGGCGTGGTGGCAGGTGCCTGTAGTCCCAGCTACTCGGGAGGCTGAGGCAGGAGAATGGCGTGAACCGGGGAGGCGGAGCTTGCAGTGAGCCGAGATCACACCACTGCACTCCAGCCTGGGTGACAGAGGGAGACCCCGTCTCAAAAAAAAAAAAAAAAAAAAAAAAAAAATTAGCCAAGAGTGATGATCACACCTGTAGTCCCAACTGCTCGCTGGGGTGACTTTTCTGTAATTCTAAACCTTCACACATGCTCATTTATAGGGCAATAATGATGTACCTGCCTCGTCCTGCCTACACGTTTTTGCTGTTTTACCTCTATTTGTTCTTCATGAGCTAATAAAAACATCACCTTGGATAGCTTGCCTAACTTCTCCAAGAAGGGGCAGTTACTCACTCCTCTCACATTCTCTTTAGCATTAGGGGATGACACCCTTAATGTGGTATTGTAATATACTTGCATATATGTGTGTATTCTAATTGTAGAGCTGCATGTGAAGCCATAGCGCCCAGCCTAGCACGCAGCAGAGATTTGAATGAATAGCTGATTAGTGAATGATTTGAAAGATTAAATCCAAAGATAACTTTCTCATCAAGTCCAACAGTACATTTTCAGTCTAATTTAGCCTTTTAGAATGATACGCTCTGACTAAACCATCAAATGAGATAAAGTGATAAAGGTAATAAAATTTGAAACATTATTGGGTACATCTGAAAACACAAATATATATTACAACTGCCAAGTCATTTAATGATGCATACAAATGATTTTTTTGTTCACTTTTATTTGAAGTTAGTATTTTTGAATTCAATTTTACTTAATTTACTAAATCTTTTGGTTCAAAATTTGAGAATAAATACTCTTGAGTCGTCCTACCCTATAGCTTACTACAGTGATAAAGATTATTTGTGGCTGGGCATCTTCTCTAAAACCTCAATTTCTCTTGGGCACCTGAGTCCAATTCTTTCCTTACTTTTGTGAAAGGTACACATAGCTGGACTTAACCAATAATGTAAAGTTAATGACTGAAGTCTAGTGACTCTGAAAGACCATATGAACTAAACCTGAGTTGTGGTTTCTTGCTGTGTCTCCCCTATCTCTTCATTACACAGCCTCAATAAACTGTAGTTCAGTGGAAAGATAAGGTGCAAATGATTAAATGATTACCTTGTCTACAGTTGCAAGTAGTTTGGATCTGAATGCCCATAAGGGAAGGAAGACATAGAAGCTAATTGCAGAAGCCTTCTATGGGGAAGAACAGCAGAAATACCACCACTCACATTTTCATCGCTCCTCTGATTTCGACATGATACGGTTTAGCTTCTATTATTTGAAAAGAAGTGAATCAAAGCAAAATAAATCTGTTTTATTCAACTGTGGTAAACTTGTATGCTTTCAGATACATTCGTGTCAAAGTGAAAAAAAAAGTTGTTTTCTAGCATTTTAGTATATTTGTTTGTTACTTTGAAACTTTCACACAAATTTGGGGTCTTTTAGTATATTTGTTTGTTACTTTGAAACTTTCACACAAATTTGGGGTCTGTAGGTCTTAGCTTTATTTTTAACAGCATATTTGTTTGTTACTTTGAAACTTTCACACAAATTTGGGGTCTGTAGTCTTAGCTTTATTTTTTAACAGTATATTTGTTTGTTACTTTGAAACTTTCACAAATTTGGGGTCTGTAGTCTTAGCTTTTATTTTTTTAACAGTATATTTGTTTGTTAATGAAACTTACACAAATTTGGGGTCTGTAATCTTAGCTTTATTTTTTAACAATCATATACTCTCACAGATGGTTTTGTTTCCTTACCTTTAAAACTTAATCGGCTGGCTTAATTAATTGCCCAACGTTTCTCTAAAACAATGTTCTGATTCTTCTGGGCAACTCTGCCATATCATATGCTGCTGTTATCTTTTCCACCAGAGTTTTACCACAAGTTGTTTAAAAACCATCAGCTCTAAGGGTAGAAAAAATGAAGTGCAGTTGAAAAGACAGTTATGTTGAAAGATAAACAGAGCAATATGTCTTATCAAAATGGGTACAAGTTTTGGCTGCTTAATGAGTGCAATACACAGCCTTCCAATCTATACACAATGGAAAAAAAAAAGAGCTTTATAACATATCAAGTATGCTACATTATTTCAGGCATAACTGTGTAGGATACATATCTAGGCCTGAGAGTGTAGATAACAAAATATAAGTGCTTTGCCTGTCTAAACATATAAAATAAATGAGCATTTGCTATCACATCCCAATACATTAGATGTACTTGCATAGTTAATTTTTCTTTTTAATGCAAAACATGTGATTGTTGAAGTGCAGTGCCAGAGTATATCTTAGTGTTTGAAGAGACATTTCTTTTCATTTAAACAAATCTGTATTTAAATGAGCCTTTTTGAAAAGGATTTTTGGCATATCTTCATTTCAGGAAGTTCAATCGGGGTAAATGGAGATGAAGAAGCTACATTATACATAATATTATATAAGTAAAGATCATTCAGCCAAAAAAAAGGCAGCAGACATAGCAGAGTATAACTACCTGAATTTCACTTTCATTTTCTAGATTTTAGGAGTTTTTGTTTACTTGTTCTATAGTTTGGGCATTGGTATTGATATGATGGAATTATTTCATGGGGGGAAGAGAAGGAGAGAGATAAATAACTTCTTACTTTCATAAAATACAGAAAGAATAACTTCAAATGCTCACAGGAAATAAATTTCAGCAGCTGGGTCCTTACCATGCTGGTTTTTAGGTACTATCTCAATGTACTGGTAAGGTTACTGATTCAGGCAAGCCCCAGAAAGCAAACAATTGACAAAAATCTGTACAAATTATGTTTATGCTGTACTTGATTCTTAGTCTCCTCCTACTTCTGGTCACTAAACAGTTCATTTAATGCAAAGAGTACAATTTTCCACACAGGAGGCAAAAGGAGCACAACTGTTGCCTTGATCAAACACTCCACTCCAGTAGGAACCGGTGTGAAAAACATGAGAAGGTGCTCTGGACATCAAGCTAGTGTACAACAGACTCAAGGATCCTACGTCAATATTATCTTTTTCTTTTTTCTTCTTAATAGGGGGTCAGCTTTGGTGTACAACTACGAAGGCCATCTCTGAGGGTGAAGAGCTAATTGCCTTTGTGGTGGATTTTGACTCAAGGCTACAAGCTGCCAGTCAGATGACTCTCACAGAAGGGATGTACCCTGCACGCCTGCTGGACTCAATTCAGCTGCTTCCTCAGCAAGCTGCCATGGCTTCTATTTTGCCCACAGCTATTGTCAATAGTAAGTGCTCAGTGCTGTGTAGCCCAGCTTTAGAGGTGATGGGAATTTATGGGAGAAAAAAAATGTCTACTGACAACAAACCAGGAACAGACCTTTTTCCTTCAGTGTTGTGGTTTCATTTTATCTTCGTGTGTGTGTGTGTGTGTGTGTGTGTGTGTGTGTGTGTGTGGTCAATTTTCCTGGGAGTATAGAAAGAACCCTTAACTCCAACCATTTCAAGTCAGATTCCTGAATGTCACACACACACACAAAGCTGATATTCTACATGAGTTGAATAATATTCAAGGCTACTTAGCTATGAGAAGGCGAGCACCTTTCATTAATGCTTCTATAGTAGAAAAAATTTGGTATTCTGTAAGGGCCATAGACTTAAAAACTTGAAAAGAAGAAACAGAATACAAAATCAAAGTTTGATTAGATATACTAACAAAAAGGAAGTGTATCCTGGATAAATCAAGACATCTGCTAATGCAAAAAGGTAAAAAATAAATAAATAAATAAATAAATAAATAAATAAATAAATAGAAATGCATGATAAGCTTAGAAAACTTTATATGGAGAATTTTTAAGTAAGCCCTGGCAAATTTACCTTTGTGATTTTATTTTGTAAAAAAGAAATTGAACTTAGTTTGTATTTTTGTGTCACAGAATGACACTTCATATGACAGAAAATCAGTGGTCTGGGGTCCCAAAATCTGTGTTCTAGACAGATCTGCTTTTATCTAGCTCTATGAGAAAACATGAGTAGCAGATACATCTTAAGAGGAGAATAGATTCTGAAGTTAGTAGGTAAGCAAAAAATTGCATCTACTCAAAAATATACTTTAAAATCTCTGAGACCCTGAATGAGGCAGAAAAGAAATCCAGAGAGGCAATGATGTCTTGATGTTAAAATATAAAATATTCAACTGTAATTAGATTCTTGCTGTAATAATCATCCTTTAGATTAAAGAAATTATCAGATGAGTCTGAAATTACTGTGCATTCAATCAATGATATAGTACTTCCATCTAAGCTAGTATTATTGGATTTCCTTAAGGTAAATGTGCCTATTTTCTTTCCTGGATCTTTACTTTGATTCTGATAGTGAGGAACTGGAAATAACATGGGCCCAACCTGAATCTAAGGCAAAAGGATTTTATTGCCAAAGACTCTGGGAGTATCTGATGTTATTGGGAAGCTCCAATGTATAGATGTTAATTCTAATTATAGTGGAAAGTGTACTCTATTTGCTTTCTGTAGCAAGACAACTATTTATGTCAAATAATTCAGCATAGATGCAGAGAGCTTTTGCTTTCATTCTGGAATTAGTGAGTTAAATTCATCCTGCTTAAATGGACCCTTTACTAAACTGTGTAGCCTCATGAATAGTGTAAATGAAATTAACTTGGAAAGGAGGGGTTAAATAATAAACAGTAGTAGTATATAATTTTTAAATTAAATGTTAATTTGAAATTATACTTCCTACCCTTACTTCCCCTTCACTAGAATTTGATCATTAGTTTTTCTCCTCATCGCCTTTAATGTGATCTCCCTGAGCCATCTCCTTCACTACTGTGGGCTCCACCAACAACCATAAATAACAGTTCACAAATTATAAGTTCAGCCGTTTCTGCTGAGTTTTAGGCCTCCATTGCCATTTATCCCATGTTCTTCTGTATTTCTTACAGCAATATCAGATTCCACATGTCTAACGTGAACATGTGCCACTGTTTGCCTGGCTTAGTCCCATTGTACATTTTTATCTGGCATCCCTCTGGATGATGACCCCTTTCTCTACGAAAGTCCTGAGTTTGCACAATACAAGGTCAGATTTGGTCACCCTATACATGCCCTAGCCTGAAGACATCACCCCTCCATCCTCTGTTCCCTGTGTAGATGAATGAAACCATTCCTGACACAGAAGCTTGGAAGCAAAGCAGAGCCGTATTCATCCGTTCTAGAATCTAGTCACCAAGCATTGTTCATGACTTCTAGTCAGTTCTATTTCCTCAGCATAATTCTTCGTCTCTGCCACCCTTGCCATGGAGGCATTATGGAAGAGTGATAAAGACCAGATTCCAATCCCATTTCAACCACTGATGCGGTCATGATGGGCAAGTTACTTAACACCAGTCTCCTCACCTATAGATGGATGAAGGGGGAAAAAACACACATGGAGAGATTTTCCATGAGCGAACACATGAACATGACACATCATAGCATGACCTGATAAATATGGTACCAGTATTAGCTGCAGTTCAAACACTGTTGTGTTTCTCTTAAGAGTACTGCAGTTGCCTCCCACCAGTCAAAAGTCTTTCTTCCAAATTCACTACCTTCAAAACTAGACTCTGCTGCTGTGATTCTATAATATCTGATTATGTCAGTGTCTTGCTTAAAATGATTCGGTGATGCTTCATAATCATGAAGACAAAATCTAAAACTCGTTGAGAGCCTGCAATTCTTTCAGTCTATCCCTGCCTCCTACAGCCTCTTCTCTCCCAGCCCTATCATGCTCCTTAACTCAACAGTACAGAACAGCCTCCCAGCCTCCCAGCCCCTCTCTCAGGCTCTCATGGCTTTCCCTGAGCTGCTCATTTGATCAGGATGATCCAACCCCTCTTCTCCACATAACTAGCTTAATTTCATCCTTCACACCTCAGCTCAGGCTGAGCTCATCATCTTCCCTCTAAATCTGTCTCTAATCTCCTCCCCTCTCCACTCCTGACATCAGCCTCTTTTCCATGCCCTGGGGCATTCCTCAGATACCTCCATCAGAACAGTAATTAGACTGTGATGTAATTAGCTGACCACATGTCCATAACCGGCGGAGACTGTATGCTTCCTAAGGCCAGCTGTTTCATCTTTCATTTTGTTTTATACCCAGCTCAACACAGAGTTGGGCATATAGTAGCCCCTCCGTAATTACTGTGTTAAAAAAAAATGGTGTCGGGGTTGGCATCAGGGCTAACATTAGTTCAGCCATTACATCCTTACCTTTTAATCAATTAGATAATTTATATCACTATAAATGTATATTTTTTCTAACCATAAACTTAATTTAAAATCAATATCTTAGGCCAGACACAGTGGCTCACACCTGTAATCCCAGCACTTTGGGAGGCTGAGGCGGGTGGATCACCTGAGGTAAGGAGTTTGAGATCAGCCCAACCAACATGGAGAAACCCTGTTTCTACTAAAAATACAAAAATTAGCCAGGCATGGTGGCACTCACCTGTAATCCCAGCTACTTGGGAGGCTGAGGTAGGAGAATTGCTTGAACCCAGGAGGTAGAGGTTGCAGTGAGTTGAGATTGCACCACTGCACTGTAGCCTGGGTGACAGAGTGAGAATCTGTCACAAAAAATAAAACAAAATAAAATCAATATCTTGTGTTTTAAATATTGGAGTGTCCTCTTTCTAGAGTCTGGGAAGTTAAATTGCAGAGTATAACATTTCTTTCAAAGCCAAGTCCTCTGCTGTAGAACAACACCAAAGACTGTTACTCATCACTGTCCGATTGCCCAGTTCGGGACCTGAGAGCACAGTCTGAGAAAAATTGAACTACATGCTGCTTTACCCATGGTTGGTTTCAAATGAACAGCAGCAAATGTGTCTCTGTGTTTTTCCCTGCAGAGGATATATTCCCTTGCAAGTCCTGTGGCATCTGGTATCGGAGTGAGCGGAATCTGCAGGCCCATTTGATGTACTACTGCAGTGGGAGGCAAAGAGAAGCTGCTCCAGTGTCAGAGGAAAATGAAGACAGTGCCCATCAGATTTCCAGCCTGTGCCCCTTCCCACAGTGCACCAAGAGCTTTTCAAATGCTCGAGCTCTAGAAATGCACCTGAATTCACACAGTGGTAAACGCTGCTTTTGTTTCTTCTGTTGCTCCAGAAGACTATTATTTTTATAAATATATATGCATTACATGTATACATCTATATCTATCTATCTGTAGCTATCTATAACATCAAAATCAAACTTTCTGGGTCAACCAGTGTGATCTTATGCCACTTACACTCAGCATATTTTACTCAAAAGATTTGGGTCTTAATTCTTTTCTGACAAATTCAGTGCTCTGACCACAGACCAAATCATTCTATTTGTTTTCGACTGAGGTTTTAAAAAAGCACATTATTTTCAAAAGAAAGTCTCAATACCCTTTGAATATTGTCATTTATTGCTTTAGTGTCAAGCAATCTTTGGAAACTGACCATAGTGTTTCCTGTATGGTAGGGAAGAAATAATAGGTACATAAATATAAGTATTTGCTGAATTGAAATAAAGCTACTCTATTGATAGATCCAATTAAAATTACAATTCAGGGATGTTTACTTTTAAATATGGATCAGCAAAATATTCTTGACTTCCAAAAGATGCGTCATAACAGCTTAGCTGGTTTTTATGACATAAAACTACTTTTAGTACTATGTTTTAAAATCCCTTAAGAAAAAATAGGCTGAAAAACAAATAAAGTTTTTAAGGCCCTCTCTTAATAGCAAGGTGGCAACTGTTCCCATTTAATTTGGAATTGTATGCCAGCTATTTTTGGTTTCATTTCATAGCATTCTAATTAACATACTTTTTTAAAAAAATGAATTTAATTGAATGTACAGAATTCTATTGACTTTAAATAATTTTAGGTACATTCTTCCATGGGACAAACTAGGGACTGAGAATCATAGTTTTTCAGCACCTGTGATACAAACATTGTGGGACACATCTGGGTGACTTTCTTAGCTGTCTTTGCCTAGATTAAATGATTTTAAAATGGAACTACATGTTGAGTTTTAAGCTACTGTTCTAACCTCCAGTGCTGTAGTACAGTTCAAGCTTTTGTCTTTGAACCTATAAAAGTAGGCAATTTCCTTTCTGCTCATCCTCTTTCCTCTTCTTGCAAATGAGCTATCTTCATATAGATAAAAAAGCAGGGGAAGCAGAAACAGATTGGTTGTCTCAGATGGTGAGTAAAGTCATATACAAAACAAAAAGAGCAGAATACAGGGGTCCTTTCAGCTAAATGGAAAAAATGAGTATTGGATTCATTAAGGAAAAAAGGAGACAAGGATAGTTAGACCCCTTTTATGACTACAGGACTAGGTACCTCTGCCATGTTTTCAGCTTATGAATGTAAAAGGCGGTCTTATTTTAGTCCAGAGTACAGAGGGGATAAGCCAAGGTGATTTTACCATATGCTGACCAATGGGAGCTAGAGTCAACCTTAGTGATGCTTACCCACCACAGTCAATGATAATATTCAAAATATGTAATCATGGACTAGAAATAGGCAGCGATCAATCGGCATGGATGTCAATGCGAAATGACTATATTAGTATACTGGTAGACTATATTAGTCTACCAGGTAAATATCAGCCCTGGATAGAGATAAACTATGTTCAGCAAAATTGTGGCATAAAATTTTAAATTTATATTAAATATAAATTAGGATGTTATTAATTACTTTACAAAATCGTTTCTATTTGACTTCTTTAGAATATAACCTATATGTAGTGTACTGAGAGTTATTTGATTTGCATTGGTTTTCAATAGCAACCCTAATGAATGCTCACTTCTTCCTAATGTAGAGGCTAATGTTATAGTAGGAAGGTTATTGGATCAGTAATTATAAAATCTGAGCCTCAGGCATGGCTTCATCGCTTAATAGCTTTATTAACATAATCAATTCCCTTAGCCTCCTTCAGCGTGTTTCCTCATCTGTAAAATGGAGACAGTGACACTTATTCCACTTTGATGCCGTAATATTCATGAAAGTAGTTTGAAAACTATAAAGTGCTATTATTATTATCACACACTGTAAGAGATGTCACAAGAAAACAGTTAATATAATGAATGAAATTCTGAACGATTTCATTCCTATTGTGTTGCAAACATTAGGTCATTAGAAAAGGTCCCTAGCATTCAAAGACCAACACACATGTTTCTCATTGTTCTTATTTTGTATGTCTCCCTAGGAGTGAAAATGGAAGAATTTCTGCCCCCTGGTGCTAGTCTAAAATGCACCGTCTGTAGCTACACTGCTGATTCTGTGATCAACTTTCACCAACACCTGTTCTCCCATCTCACTCAAGCTGCCTTCCGATGTAATCACTGCCATTTCGGCTTCCAGACTCAGAGGGACTTATTGCAGCACCAGGAGCTCCATGTCCCTAGCGGCAAACTTCCCAGAGAAAGTGACATGGAACACTCTCCAAGTGGAACCGAAGACAGCTTACAGCCAGCCACAGACTTACTGACCAGGAGCGAACTTCCCCAGAGCCAAAAGGCCATGCAGACTAAAGATGCGAGCTCTGACACAGAGCTGGACAAGTGTGAGAAAAAGACTCAGCTCTTTCTCACAAACCAGAGACCAGAGATACAGCCTACAACAAATAAACAAAGCTTTTCTTACACAAAAATAAAGTCTGAGCCCTCTAGCCCAAGACTTGCCTCATCTCCAGTTCAGCCTAATATTGGGCCTTCTTTCCCTGTGGGCCCTTTCCTATCTCAGTTTTCTTTCCCCCAAGATATCACCATGGTCCCTCAAGCGTCAGAGATCTTAGCCAAGATGTCTGAACTGGTGCATCGGCGACTGAGGCATGGCAGTAGTAGCTACCCTCCCGTCATCTACAGCCCCTTGATGCCCAAGGGGGCTACTTGTTTTGAGTGTAACATAACATTCAATAATTTGGATAATTATTTAGTGCACAAAAAGCATTATTGCAGCAGCCGATGGCAGCAGATGGCTAAGTCCCCAGAGTTCCCTAGTGTGTCAGAAAAGATGCCTGAAGCTTTGAGTCCCAACACCGGCCAAACCTCCATAAACCTTCTCAACCCAGCTGCTCATTCTGCTGATCCTGAGAATCCACTTCTTCAAACATCTTGCATCAATTCTTCCACTGTCCTAGATTTAATTGGGCCAAATGGCAAGGGCCATGACAAGGACTTTTCCACTCAAGCTAAGAAGCTCTCCACCTCCACTAACAATGATGACAAAATTAATGGAAAACCTGTTGATGTGAAAAATCCCAGTGTCCCCTTAGTGGATGGGGAAAGTGACCCGAATAAGACTACCTGTGAAGCTTGCAACATTACCTTCAGCCGGCACGAAACATACATGGTCCACAAACAGTATTACTGTGCTACTCGCCACGACCCTCCACTAAAGAGGTCTGCTTCCAACAAAGTGCCTGCCATGCAGAGAACCATGCGCACACGCAAGCGCAGAAAGATGTATGAGATGTGCCTACCTGAGCAGGAACAAAGGCCTCCACTGGTTCAGCAGAGATTTCTTGACGTAGCCAACCTCAGTAATCCTTGTACCTCCACTCAAGAACCCACAGAAGGGCTAGGAGAGTGCTACCACCCAAGATGTGATATCTTTCCAGGAATTGTCTCTAAACACTTGGAAACTTCCCTGACGATCAACAAATGTGTTCCAGTTTCCAAATGTGACACTACTCATTCCGGTGTTTCCTGCCTAGAGATGGACGTGCCCATAGATCTCAGCAAAAAGTGTTTATCTCAGTCTGAGCGGACAACCACGTCTCCCAAAAGGCTGCTGGACTATCACGAGTGCACTGTGTGCAAGATCAGTTTCAATAAGGTAGAAAACTATCTGGCCCACAAGCAGAATTTCTGCCCGGTTACTGCACATCAGCGTAATGACCTGGGTCAATTGGACGGCAAAGTGTTTCCAAATCCAGAAAGCGAACGAAACAGCCCTGATGTCAGCTACGAAAGAAGCATAATAAAATGTGAGAAAAACGGGAATTTGAAGCAGCCTTCCCCCAATGGAAACCTATTTTCATCCCACCTAGCAACCCTGCAAGGCTTGAAGGTCTTTAGTGAAGCCGCTCAGCTCATTGCTACAAAAGAAGAAAACAGACATTTGTTTCTTCCACAATGCCTTTACCCTGGAGCAATAAAGAAAGCAAAAGGAGCCGACCAGCTTTCTCCATATTATGGAATCAAGCCAAGTGATTATATTTCTGGTTCTCTTGTCATCCATAACACTGACATCGAGCAAAGCACAAATGCAGAAAATGAATCTCCTAAAGGCCAGGCTTCCTCAAATGGGTGTGCTGCACTGAAGAAAGATTCTCTACCATTGTTGCCCAAAAATCGAGGAATGGTAATAGTGAACGGTGGACTGAAACAAGATGAGAGACCTGCTGCCAACCCACAGCAAGAGAACATTTCCCAGAATCCTCAGCATGAAGACGACCACAAATCTCCCTCGTGGATCTCTGAGAACCCATTAGCTGCCAATGAGAATGTCTCACCAGGAATTCCCTCAGCAGAGGAACAGTTGTCTAGTATAGCAAAAGGTGTGAATGGTTCCACCCAGGCTCCA